TTTCAGTTCTTTGCTTTTTGTTAAACTATATGTTTGCATTGATCACTAATGTGTTTACAGCCATATGTAAATAGTCAAATTCAGGTGAGTAAAGGGGTTGCTATTTCAAACACATTTTCCCCTTATGGAAAGATAGATCTGCTAAGTCACTTTACCACTCCTCTCAGGTCACAAAAAGAAATGATCTGTCTATTTCTCAACAGGCAGCAGTCCTTTGAGTTCTGCCTTGTTAAGCCCACAAAACACTAAACATCATCAAGTTTCATGAATTGCCCTTCTTGAATCTCAAATAAAACAAAGAATTACAGATCTCATAATGACTAATAAGATAGGTCTTTAAAATGTATTGTCTGATGTTGAACAGAGGTAGGTTGTCATATCCTAGGGGGTGGAATAAGAATAGCCTATTGTGTTTACTAAGTAAATATTAGAGGGCTAGTGGATTTTGATAGTAGTAGTTGATTTACTAAATCCTCCCCCCCCCCGTGTGTGTGTGTGTGTGTGTGTGTGTGTGTACGCTTGCGCACCTATGTCTCTGTGTCTATGTGTGTGGGACACATGCATACTCACATACACAGAGAGAGAGACAGAGACATAGAGAAAGACAGAGAGACAGAGTAAGAAAGTTGGGAATAAAGGAAGAGGGAGAAGAAAGAAGGCAAGAGGGTAAGAAGCTTCGTAGAAGTATATCTAGTTGCAAATGACTGCTGACTTACAAGGACTAGTTGACTTTGGAAACTCAATTTCACCAAAGCACAACACCTGGTATACTCTAATGAGTATTATTTCTAGCTGCTTTGCCTCCACACTGTGGAATACCAAAGAGAATGTTTCCCTCATGTCATTAGCCCTGGATTCCTCTTTCTGGCTCACGAAGACATACTAATGGAATTAGTAAGGCACAACTTGAATACACAGAGACGAAAGGGGGTCATTATAGTTGAGTGTGAGAGTGTGAAAGGTATGGACACTAAAGAAGACAGGGAGATATTTGTCTTCTAGCTGAATTATTGCCAGAAGACACAAAATTACACTAAGCAAGGGGAAACTAAACACCAGACACCAGAATAAGCGCAACATTCATCAGAGTGAGCAAAGTCGTTAAGATGTTTAAAATACAAAAAGATTGAAATTTACATTTTAAGCAAAATGTATACAGGGTACTCAATAAAAGTTTGGAATCAGAGAAAAATCTAAATTGTTGTTTGCAAGTTCTCCAGATAAATGGCAGGCTGTGGGTCACTTTCTGTCCTAAAGTTTTTGAAAGGACAGGGTATGGTGATGGAATCCTTGAGTGGGCAGAAACTAGACAGTGTGACTGAGTAAACTCATGCCTCCACAGGAAGATACACACTGAGGAAAAGGAAAAGCATGGGAGAACGTGAGTGCACTTGCGTATTCTCTGGTTATGGTGGGTTATTGCGTGCTCCAAAAACATTGCAGCTGCTGACACAAAAAGGAAAAACATCTTGTCGAGCCTGTTTCTTTTGGAGGTCAGCTTGTGGCTGATGCAATGATTCCACACAGCATTTGCATCCTTACAATATACCAAGGAATGCCCTTGTACAGATTTTACCAGCAGCATATTCTGCACACTAGCTCCCCCAGCACGCTGGTGGTACTCTGTTAGAACCATTAAAAGAAGAATGGATTTTTATGATGGCTTCCAGACGTGGCTCCATTCTCTTAAGCTGTATGAGGTGTTGTAACTGCCTCTAATACCTGCTTGTGTTGCTTAATTCTGTTCATCTGTGTCCCAGCCCATCAGGACTACTATAATGAAAAACTATAGGTGGCTTACAAACAATAGGAACTTATTTAATACAGTTCTGGAGGGTGGGAAGTCCAAGATCAAAGTGTCTGCATACATATTGTCAGGGGAGGCCTCATTCACTGGTTCATAGAAAGGCCTTTTCTGTTGTATCCTTATGAGGTGCCAATTCTCATGCTCCTATCATCTCCCCAAGGCTTTAGACTTCCAACTTGCATTACAGTATAGATTATGTCTCAGCACTCAAACTGTGGAAGAGCCAGATATTAAATTTGTATCAAGCTACCAGAGTAAACATTTACCAACTTCCTAATCAATGGCAAAGCTCATGCAAGTTCATGGAGGCTTCTGGGTATGAAACAACCCGGGAGGCTTACAATCTGGAACATTGGCTTGCTCAAAACAGAAGACCTCATGCTTTCTAAGCTATCACTCTGAACTAATGAGAAATTCTTGACTGAAGTAGTACAAATACTTCCTTACAGGTAACCCTCTTGTGGGCTTGGGGAAACTATAATAGCAAGAATGCCAGAAATGCCTGAGTTTCAACTAGAAGATCCAGAAGAAAAGCAAGGAAGAATTATAGTGGTCTTATCCAGTGGTATAAGTGATTATCGGGCTGGTTAAATGAGGGAAACTCGTGTACGTTATCCTACAAGAACTTCTCTACCCTAATGAGACTCTGCCCTGGTATTGAATTCTGGAAATAGGGGTAGCACTAGGGTAGAAGACTCTATCATGGAAGAAGGAGAAAGGATATCTGCCTCCCTCGTGTGCATTATAATGAAAGAAAACCCTCCTTACCTTCTAAGGTGGTATTGGGGAAGTTTTTCCTACAGACATGAGACTGAAAGTTTATGGAATCTTGCTTCATTGGCTACTTCTGGGGGTGCAGTGAGAAGTGTAGGGTGAGATCAGTTAACATGCTCATTTGGTTTAGAAGAATCCCAAACCTGAAATCCAATAAATATGGCTTTATTTATAGTTTTATTCTCCAACTAGTAAAGCCTGAGGAAATATTGCAGAAAGTATCTTTCTTTCTTCCACAACAGGTTTATTTCTTTAAGAAGATAAAATGTGGGGAAGGGATCTGTGGACACTCCCCCACATTTCTAGATATGGAATGGAAAAGGATGCAGTGTTTCAACCATCTTCAAACCTGTACCCATTCTTCTCCTTTTGAAAATTCTATGCTCACATAAGTTATAACTCGTGTCAGTTTTGCAGTTATGGAAGAGGGCAGGTGGAGAAATCTTAAAACTCTCATAGTTGTCTTTAACACTTCTTGCTACAGTCTATCATTACTCTTAACCTCCCCCCCCAAAAAAAGTGACCTTTCACATTTTCTACATATTTTACATCCTATATCTGGCACATAAGATCTTTCTTGAGAATAGGCAAGGGAAATCTTAGGTGGAAATTAACCCATTTAGAAATAATACTCTGAGATGTATCTTAGTGGGCAGCATTTTCAGTACAACATGTGCTATCTGGAATACAGTGTGCAGCACTTTCAGTACAACATGTGTAATCCAGAATACACTAAATCCAAACCAAATAATTGTATATCATTATTGCCTATTCCTTATTTTCTCAAAGCCAGTCATCTTGTCTGTTGGCAGAGATTAGAAGCTTCTCATGTTCCCAACAGTTGTGTGATAAAATGTAATCAAAGAGGTCCTGTGCTCTTCTGGGAGTCTAGTTAACAGGCTTGGTTGACATATCAAGACAACGAATTCCTGTCCATGCTAGCTGGATGTTATGTTGATTTGGTCATTTGGGGACTTTTAGGAAAGGAACAGCTTGTGGCATTTGAGCGGAGCCATTAATTGGTATCGTTTAGTGTAGCATGACGAGGAGGAAGATTCCATGGTGGGGCACAACTGTGTCAACACCCCAGCTGCTCTGTGCTAACTGAATGGGCAGTGGAGCTGTAAATTTAGTCATGTGAGGGGCATAGGATTTTACTGAAGTTAAAATTCACAGACCTTTCTGTCCATGCTTTAGCTACATCCTTTCTGTTGCCCAACCTCCTTCTCCACCATTTCTTCCCCCCTTTAAAGTCTCCTCCCACGATTTTTCCTTCCAATCTATTTAGGAAAAAAAGTTTATTTAATTGGTTAGGTGCCTTGTGAGAGTGTAAAAGATTTCTTGTCTAGTTTTTCTTTATGGAAACAAAACATTCGATTCTGTAGATTGTTTCAAAGTAGAGCCTTCCTGGCCCTAACTCCAACTGTAAACACTGGGTGTGCCTTCTTATGCCCTAGACTTGGTGTCTCAATCAAAGACATCATTAGCTACACATTCTCGTACAACCACCCATGGCTCGAAAGCCTGGATGGTAATCAGCACAAGAATTAGCACAGGGCTTATTTTTTAAATATTTAGATCTATTTTTCTTTATGTATGTGTGTATGTATATATATATATATATATATATATATATATATATATATATGCATGTATGTATGTGGCACATATGTGTACATGGCTGTAGAAGCCAGATGAGGACATCAGGTTCCTTAACACTAGAGTCACAGGTGGTTGTGAGCTGTATGATGTACCATTAATTGAACTTGAGGTCTATGGAAGACCAGGAAACCCTCTTTATTGAGCCAGCTTTCTAGTCTCAACACATGATTTTTGTGATAAACAAGATCCACATAATTCAAAAAGTGGCATTTCTTGCAAGCAATCCACTCTCTTTCCAGCAGCTCCTTTGATGTAGGAGGGTAAGTAGTAAAGATGATTACCAGTGCAACATGTAGATCCCTGGTGATTCATGCTGACTGCTGCCCCTTCTTTGTTCCAAATACTTGACTAATGACTGACAGATATGAATGCTTGAGCACTCTAGTCTCTTGTCTTCTTGTTATTGGGACAGTGTTGAAATGCGAAATGTGTGGTACCCTGAGTCCCCGAAGGACCGAATCAGCATTGTTTCTGGAAATTTAACCTGGCATCATAACCTGGCTTCTTTCTCTACCAGCTACCATTTCCCAACTCCTCAACCTGTTCTTCCTCAAAACACTTCCCATTTAATCACATTCAGAAGAAACTTTATGGTGTCGTCTGTATCTGCAGATTCTGACCTCAGACAAAGCACGTTGTCAAATTAATGAAAAGTCATGTTGATTTATTGCTTTTAAAAGGAAAAAAAAGAGAAGTAATCTGCTGCCTATTTTAGACTGATAAAAATAATCATGCAATTGTCTGTTTTTTTTTTCAGGAAGAGAATTTGAAGGAGAAGAAGAATATCTGGAGATCCTAGGCATCACCAGGGAACAGTCAGGCAAATATGAGTGCAAGGCTGCCAACGAGGTCTCCTCCGCGGATGTCAAACAAGTCAAGGTCACTGTGAACTGTGAGTACAGGATCAGCAGGTGTTCCATGCCCAAGGCACACTTCCACTCCCAGTGCGCTCTACAGATCCCATTAGCAAAAGCTCATAGCATTTCAAGCAGATGTTCTTCTGGTCAGGGATGCACATTTATACATTGGACACTTCCAAGGGCAAGACTTGGCCTTTGAATTTGATAAATCAACGCTTCTGATTCTAAATATAACCAGCAATACATTTCACAATATCCTCTGTCTTTTACCCAGACAGTGGAATTAAGAAACCATGATGAGACACACCACTTGAGTTTCTGGCAGTCACTGTTGTAGAGCCTGTGGACACCAAGGTCATATTACTTTGGGAAAAGCAACAATCTATATCTACTTTAGCTGAAATTTTTATCTTAATGCATTGTTTGTCAGAAGAGAATAGCCCCAAGATTATATTATATCCTCTGCTATTTAACTAATTGGCCTTGGGACCAAATTCAAGCCCATTTGGTCAGATACAGTGTGTCCCTGACGGCTAGAGGGAAATGTCTGATAAGTTCATTTCAGTTATCTATTTCTCCCTAAAGCCTGGGCATTAGAAATGAAGATTTCACTAAGATGCATAGGTAAGTGAGCATACTTTGAACTTGTCAGATGAAAGGCTCTTTAGATGTAGTTCAAAGTGGGAGGAGGGAGGAAGAGGGGATCTATAGGATGTGTGTCACCCAGCAAAGGAATAAAAAATTTGTTTATCCTGCTCAATTAAGAGTGACTTCCTATAACATTCAAATTCAAAATCCTTTACCACATAATTATGCCTAAGGACATGAAAGGACAAAGAGATGTCCTGACACACCTCTCTCTCTCTCTCTCTCTCTCTCTCTCTCTCTCTCTCTCTCTCTCTCCCCCCCCCTTTCCTCTTCTCTCTCTCTGTGCATGTATATTTATTACCGCAGTCATACATACATAGACCCATTTATGCATGAAACACACAATCACACATAATCAGACACAATCACACATGGCACAAATACTTGAGCCTACATCTGAAAGTGTATTTTAAGCCATGATGCAGTACATTTTTGCGTTCCTACATCTTTCTTGATGTCACCTATATGCCAGAGTCAATATAAATGCACTCTAGTCCTCTAACAACACTGACAATGTAAATATAATCAAGTCCAATTTAAAGTTTTAGAAACTGAAGCATAAATTTAGGAAATCGCCTATCCAAAGCAGCACAAAAAGCAAATGTAAGGGGTAAGGGTGTTCAGCTTCAGGTCTATTTGATTCTAAAGCCCAAACTTCCCAAGGAAGCAGAGGAAGAAGAGAAATTTCAATTATTTGTAATGCTCGACATAGCTTCCTGTTAGGGATTTAAGCATGCTATTAGTCTTGGTGTAATCCAATGAGATAAGCATCAATATTCTTGCTTTAGAATTTTGGAACTGAGCTTGCTTAAGGTGGCTTAGCCTCTGCTAGAATGCCCTGGTCCCCAGTGCCTAGCTCCAGCCAGCCTGATAGCTTTCTGAAATGGGCAATGAAGACTCCACTGTGTACCTTGGGGAAGCCAATAGACACAGCACTGAACTCCACGTTTATGATCTCATTTTTAAGAGCAAGGGGTTGCATTTGATGAGCTGTGAAGTGCTTTTATCCCTGGCTGTCTCCAATTTTTTTTTTTTTTAGTAATAGAGTTTTGAAATGCCAGTATTACTATTCTTTTGCAGTACTGGGTGTGTTTCAAAGATGCATTAATGATCTCAATGTTATAAAATGCTTTAGGTCCTTTTTTCACATGAAAGGCAATTTCTCTGGGTGTTTATGTAAGTTTGTAATTAGGTTAGTTAACTTCTATTATGCACACATAGCCATGCTATCATCTGCCACCTCTTCTCTGACTTTTAGAGTCAAGATTCCATTTTCACTTAATTGACCTTCAACTTAATTAGGTTTCCTGAAAGTCCAATCATATAGTAAATAGAAAATATTTATGCTTCCATTGTATGAAACATCAAAGTAGTCTGGATTGGAGATGGTTTCCAAGATCAAAGCTAGTCGCCTGGGTCCTGTTATTATTGAAGCAATTAGTCTGACATTGCTCCCTCTTCACTGTCCCCAAAGTATAATTTAGAACAGGAAAAAATACTGATAATTTTCAAGAAAACTTTTATGAAAATATGAGCTTTTTTCTAGTAATGAGTGAATGACTGAATATGGACAGAGCCCACCGATTCTCAAAAATTATCTTGGAAGAATTCAATTAGAGACCCAATGTGCTTTAACCAAGAGGAACAAGAATGTGCTCAGCCTTACAAAAATAGTCAGTAAGTGTTAACTGAAGGTAAAGATAGAAAACTCAAAATAAAACTCCATTTTAATATTTTCCCAAACTCTATAAATAAATCATACTGGCTACAAATCAGGAAAAACATTCTAGTTTCAAATTCCTCTGGAATCACCTTTTTAATCCAAACCTCATAAAGTACATGTATATAAAATCAGTCCTCACACCAGAAATTCTGTTCAGATAAACTGTGGTACCCAGACATACTTGCATTTTGTACATAGATGGAGTTTCCAGGATTGAATTATAGAAGCTTGTTCTCACCTATAGAAAGACAGCCGAGATCTCTTTTGTCACTTCATCTGAACCTTTGTTTAACTTGAGTTCTCTTCAATTTCAAGCAGAGGCTTCGGGATTAGGTCAGGCAAACAGGATGGCTAAGAGAACTACTGATGGAAGAGATTATCATAATGAACACACCCTGGATACCACTAAAAGAAGCAATCTCGGCACTTACAACTTTCCCACTGCTGCTCATTGATTCATTTACTCATTTGCCAACATATGTTTGTTATGGGATACACAGAGGCTAGCCCAGTAAGGAAGGAGACATAACAGTCTCACCCGTTGAGCTCACAGCAGATTCTGAAGACTTTCCTTTCTACTTCCCTTAGATAACCTGCCTTTGTGATAGGTCTATATTATTGCACATAGCCATTTTACAGACAAAGTCTATTTCCTACTTGGTAGGAGGGCCTGGCATCTATAGAAAGCTAAATCATTACCTTGAAATCTTCGCCATTAAATAAATTTGGTAAAATTTATGGAATGGACAAGACTTTTGACTTTCTTTGTCTTATGAAGGCACAGATTATATCAACCACAGAAATACACTATCCTGACTCTACACTCTCAACTGCACCTTCCATTATGCCTTAACGAGTCTTTAGAATAGTATCTGCCCAAGAACAAGTGTTCAATAGATGCATGCTATTGCTTTTTTTCAGACTTTTCCTAGAGTGGACTTCTTTCCTAGTCATGAGGAAATTCCTAAATGCTGCTCTCATTCTTCCCCATCCAAAACTGACATGCTAATGTCCTTACCTTTTGCCTACCCACAGTATGCCCCCCCACCTCTCTCTCTGTCTCACATTGACAGCCTTTGCAATTTCTCTTTCCTCTTCTTATCTCCCTTTCACCCAACTCTGCATCTAGGTCTAAATGACTCACCCTATACAAACGGTAGAGGACCAGGGACATAGACATTTCCAAAGCTCTTACATGTGTGTTAATTTAGAAAAAGCAGAGGTTACTGAACAACATGCACCACCTGTTGGGTATACCCGTGTGTAGAGATACCTACAATGGCCAAGAGAAGGCATGAAATCTCCTAGGTCTGGAATTATTAACAGTCGTAATCTACCAGGTGGCTACTGAGAGCTGAAAGAGTCTCTAGAACAGGAACAGGCACATGTAACTTCTGGACAAACTTTCCAGAACTTAAATGTGCAATTTAACTAGACTCTTCAGTATTTTGGTTCAAAGGTCACCTGATAAGCAAATTTAGGGAAATAATGTCTCAATGTAGAGTGAGACCTCAAATTATTCATGACAACACCTTTCCAGTCACTGTGTTGGCCTTACATTTTCCAAATAACATTCCACTTATATTTTGAGAATTTCATAGAATATAGTTAATCATAGCTATTCTCATCTCCCAGATCCTTCTAGATCTTCCACCACCTCCCTCACCCCCAACTGTGTCTAGTTTCATACTCTCTCCACCCACGCTCTTGTATGCACACACAGAATGTAGACATTCTCTGACCTAAAGTCAAAGAGCTTATGAATGACAGACTTCAGACTCCTAGGTCTAACTCAAATTTCTCTGCACCCATACCCAAGAGAGCAACAGTGGTGAAAGCAATTGATGTACCTACTTTAGATGCTGAAAGTGTTCTTTTTACATGTGACTTCATACAATATTTGCCTTACATCTGTGTATGAGATTGATAGGTGTCATTGTCTGTATTCGTAGGCAAGAGGCCAAGAAGAAACAGGTGTCTATGGCAACAGTAGAGGCATGGGAGGACGTCAGGCCGGAATCTTCAGATTTCTAATTTAGAAATATACCAATTATGTCACTATATGTTCTGCCATTTTTTCCAGCGTTCTATAAACATTTACAGAAATCTGCAATATTTACTTTTCAAGCTCCCTTAAATAATGTTTTATTTTCTTATTAAGAGTCTACTCCTGGAGCTATAGAGATGGCTCAGTGGTTAAGGACACTTATTTTTCTTATACAGAATCTGGGTTTGGTTCCCAATATTGACATAGCCACCAAAGCTTACAGCCATCATAACTTCAGTTCCACTGTGTCTAATGCCCGTTTCTGACCTTCCTGAACTCTAAGAGCACTGGGCTCTGTGCAAATGGTGCACAGATGTATATGTGCACAAGAACTTCATACACATAAAATGGATAAATCTTGAAAGTGAAATGAAAGAACTTATTCAAACAAACAAGCAGTTCGGAGAGGTTCAGAACACGATCAACACGGATCTAAATCCATACTTCAGCAAACATTGCTCAGATGTATTTGAACAAGTTACTAACCTATTGCAAATTTCCCTTCTTGTTCTCCAAATAACACTACTAATGCATAACTCTTAGGGCTGCCATTTGGACAAATAAAGATGTCTGACATCTGAAACAGTGCTAATAGGTGTCTATAGTGTTGTTAA